TTTTTTTTTTTAATTCTGGGATTTATTTACCTTCTATAATTGAAACTTTGTTGCCGCTCCAGCTCCGAGGCTAGGGCCTGCTGAAAGCAGGTATCTGGGGTTTGTTTAGCTTCTATAATTGCAACTTTGTTGCTTAGAGTGGAGCTCAGAGCTGGGCCACGGCAGGTGGGGAACCTTGGCTTCCTCCATCACTGGAGCAAGCAAGCCTCCTGCTAGCTTCAGCTGTGTGGCTGCCGGCCGCCATCTTTGTTGGCAGTTAATTTGAATATCTTGCTGATTAGCCAATGGGAAGTGTAGCGGAGGTACGGTTAATTACCCTTTTTGTCTTTTATTAGATAGGATAGTGATGTTTTTAATATGCATAGGAATAAGACTCCGATTTCTTATTCATATAAATATGCATTTATTTGACACAATTAAGATCATATTATACTATTCTTTTTAAAACCTGTTTCTTCCCATGCTGTATTTACTCACTCTTCCACCATCACCTGTTTATCTGTCCATGTCTTCTGCGCCTCGATGCTAAGCTCCTTGAGACCAGGGACTGTGTTTGGATCCCCAGTGTCTAGAACACTGCCCACCACAAAATGTATTCAGATAAATGTTTGTGCAGCAAACAAAGTAGGTGAATACTTCTAATGTTCTTCTAGAAAGTGTCCTCCATCCTTGCAATCTTTTTATGCAGTTTGTTCAGCAAAGCCTTTTCAAAAATATTTAGGAGAGATTTATTTTATCCCACTGTCAAAATGACCATATGTTCTGAACTGGAGGTTCTGAGTTGTTGTATTTTTATTTTTTGCTCTATCTGCACCCTACCAAAGTTCAAAGATATGTTTATTTAAAATTTGTGAGTTATTGTACTAGGATTTGTTATGATTTTTTAGGCAACCAGTCTAGAGTGCGACTGCAGACCAAGCTCTGACCCTTCCTAGGTGTGTTTTATCCTTAACTTCTCTGAAGGTTCATTTTCCTTTTAGGTGGAAATGATTCTATTGGCCCAACCTGCATCACAAGATTGTTGGTAGGGAGCAAACACAAGCATATGAAGTTGCTTTGAAGCTATTCAAATATAAGGGTGATGTAATCTTATGAAAAAAGGGCCCATGACTTGATAACAGATACTGAAAACATTGGCCAAGGCCATCCATCCCATGCAAAGCTGCTTACACCAGCTGCTTTTTCTGCTGACACCCACAGTACCTTGTTGTAGGTCCTTTCGACTGCCAAGAAGTTCAGTACCAAGCATACTGCTCCGTTATTATAGAACCATTTCAATCTAGGTTTGATTTTGATTATGTCCTCTTCTTTTCATAGTTATTGCTTTTTAATTTCCATTTAATGGTCTTATTGAACATGCATCTTTTTTGTCTGCTACTCCCCAGCTTTAGGCAACCACTAATCTACTTTTTATCTCTACAGATTTGCCTATTCTGGACATTTCATATAAATGGAATCACCAATATGTGGGTTTTGGTGTCTTTTTAAATCTAACACAATGTTTTCAAGGTTCATCAATGTAGTAACATGTATCAGTACATCATCCCTTTTTTAAAAAAATGTGGTAAAATATACATAGCCGAACATTTACATTTTATACATATTTTATTTATTTTAAAATATGCTTTTATTGACTTCAGAAAGAGGAAGGGAGAGGGAGAGAGAGAGAGAAACATAAATGAGAATCATAGATTGGCTGCCTCCTGCACGCCCCCTACTGGGATCAAGCCTGCAACCCCAGGCATGTGTCCCAACCAGGAATTGAACTGTGACCTCCTGGTTCATAGGTTGATGCTCAACCACTGAGCCACACCGGCTGGGCTATCTGTTTTAAGTGTACAGTTCAGTGTCATTAATTATACTTACAGTGTTGTGCAATTATCACTACTATTTTTAAAATACTTTCACCACCCCAAACAGAAACTCTGTATCTAATAAGCAATAGTTACCAATTCTCCCCTCTCCTCAGCCCCTGATACTAAATCTACCTTTTGTCTCTATGAATTTACCTATTTTAGATACTTCATGTAAGTGGGATCATACAGTATTTGTCCTTTTCTGTTTTGGCTTATTTCACTTAACATAATGTTTTTAATGTTCATCTATGTGTTGTATATATCAGAACTTCATTCCATTTTATGTCTGAATAATATTCCATTGTATGTATACGCGACATTTTGTTTATCCATTCATCTTTTGATGGACATTTGAGTGTTTTCTACTTTTGGGTTGTTATGAATAAAGCTGCAATTAATATTTATGTACATATATCTGTTTGAATGTCTGTTTCAGTTCTTTTTTTAAAATCCTCACCCAAGGATATGTTGAGAGAGAGAGAGAGGGAGAGAGAGAGAGAGAGATCTATCAATGTGAGAGAGAAACATTGATCGGTTGCCTCCCCTATGTACCCCAGTCGGAGATTGAACCTGTAACCTAGGTATGTGCCCTGATGGGGAATCTAACCTGCAACCTTTTGGTGTGTGGGACGATGCTCCAACCCACTGAGCTTCTGTTTTCAATTCTTTTGGGTAAACCCTAAATGCCCAGGAGTGGAATTGCTGGGTTTTATGGTAATTCTATATCACATTTTTTGAGAATCCACCAAACTGTTTTTAAGCATGTGTCTTTTGAATACGTTTTGGTCTCTCAAATTGTGAATAAATGAATTACATGCTCACGGGTGTGTATGGAAGGGTGGGCCTAGTCATCATAAGTGAAGGTGGTAATTCTGGTGTAAGATGTGTAAGATCGGGTTCTAAATACCAGCCCGAGCACCTGGAAGACCCTAACCCTTCCGCTTCCTTGCCAGCCCTGCTGCAGATTTGGACCTGAAATCCTCCGGCTCGCATTCTGATCACTCCTCTGAAACCTCACTGCCTGAAATCCAAAAGGATAAATACCTCAAGGAGTGTAGCCTGCTAAAGCCGCAGACAAGTGAGTCCTAGGTCCTCCTCCACGTGCCTCCAAGCCCGGGTCCGTCCAGGAGTCCGCCATACTGTTGGGCGCCACGCACCGAAGACCCACTAGGCTCCAGGCATTTGACACGCTTCATCTCTAACTCTCACAACAACTATGCTGGGGAAAACATTGTTACACGTTCTTCAAAAATAAAATGCCTTTATATAAAAAAAAACCATAAAAGAACAGTATCAAAATGCTAAAATAATAAAGTAGATAGCCCTGGCTGGGTGGCTCAGTTGGTTGGAGCATTGTCCCATACACCAAAGGTTGCGAGTTTGATTCCCCATCAGGGCATATACCTAGGTTGTGGCCTCGATTCCTAGTCAGGGCACATATGGGAGGCAAGCAATCAATGTTTCTTTCTCACATCAATGTTTCTCTCTCTTTCTTTCTCTCTCTCTCAAATCAATAAAACAAATCCTTGGATAAGGATTAAAAAAAAGAAATATATAAAATATATAAAGAAACCTCTTCCCCAGTGTTCTCCAACAATATTCCCATTCTGCCCAAAATCTGTGAAGAGTTTAATATATACGCTATTCTTCCAAAAATGTGAAATGCATATGTTCGTATGCATAGATAGATGGGTGGTAGTATTCGACCATATTTTCACTAGTAGAAAATAGTATACAAACTATTTTCACTCAAAGTAAAATAGATCCTGAAGCTCTTTCTGTGTCAATACATATCGATCCATGTGGCTAATAATTTCATACAGAAGGAGACTGAGGCTGGGAGAGATTCAGTGACCACAAGCACACATGGCGAGCGAGTAGAGTGATGGGCTCAGAACCCAAACTTGGCTGCTTCCAAAGCCTTTGTTCTTTCTTGGCGACCACAGAGCCCAAGTGCTTCTCAAGCAACCATAGAGCTTTCAGGGGATCTTTTATTGTGTAAAACCCCTTTAGCAATTTTATAGAGAAAGTATAGGATGAGGAGACAAAGGCACTGAGAGGTTCAGTAAGTTGCCTGAGGGCTCGCAGCAGCCTTTCTCATTTGCATAATCACATGTACACATATGCCAGTGTCACTGTCGTGCATGCATATGCCACTGTTGCTGCCAACACCATATTCCACCCAGTTAAGTTGTCACATCTGGCCCAGCCCTTCCCTGGTTGATGGGCATTTCCTTCTTCCTACCCGCTCATCAGCGTGAAGGTTGGACCACAGGTGCTTGTAAAACTGTCTCTGAGCTTCCCAACCCATACATCACTTCCAGCCATAAAAATTGGCTTCATTTTTGGAGGAGAGGGTAAAAAGAAAAAAAAAAAAAGAGGCCTCTTAGCTTTCTCCCCACTTCCCTTCCTTTCGTGTCTAGTCCCACAGCGGCCAACCTGCCCTGATGTAGGACCAAGGAATTCTGCATGTGGATAACGGGTGTACAGCCGGAGGGTGCCCGGGGAGTTTTCTCGACCTCTTGTCGTCCCGTTGCATTCTGGGGCTGGCAGCGGTGCTAACGGAAGGCTTTCTGATGTCCTGCAGAAGACGGGCAGCGTCCAGAGTGGACATTTTACCCGAGGCTTAGCAGCAACATCCACACCTACCACATCGGGAAGCAGTGCTTCTTCCAGGGCGTCTTCCTCGGCAACAGGAGGTCTCTGGCAGAGAGGACGGTGGACAAGTGCCTCGGGAGGAAGAAATATGGTAATGTGGCCCCCCTGGGCCTTAACTGTGCAACGCCTCAAAACACCCTGAGCCCTAACCGGTTTGGCTCAGTGGATAGAGCGTCAGCCTACGGACTGAAGGGTCCCAGGTTCGATTCCGGTCAAGGGCATGTACTTGGTTGCGGGCGCATCCCCCAGTAGGGGGTGTGCAGGAGGCAGCTGATCGATGTTTCTCTCTCATTGATGTTTCTAACTCTCTCTTCCTCTCCCGTTCTCTCTGTAAAAAAATCAATAATATATATATATGTAAAAGAAAACACCCTTGAGTGGTGACTCTGCAGGCCCAGCATTTCGTGGCCGGGGCAGCCCTGCGAGGCCACTGTGCCAGCCAGTGCAGCCAGGATGATAGGCAAGTGAAGGGGATGGTTGGCAGGCTGCACTTTTCAGCAAAGAACTCATAGCAGACGCTGATCCACATTTTTGTTTTTCTCTGAATCTCATGAAATGCTAATGTGACATTTCAGCCAGCAGATAAGTTCTCTCAGATACTTATTAATAGAAACCTTCACGGGAGTTTGAAGGAAATCATGTATGTTTTAGTTAGATGCTGTCTGTCACATGCATGTACACTGTACTTGATTTTTTCACAAGGAAAACATCCCATACACCTTAGCCTGAAGTGTGTATTACTTCAGCTTATTTAATTAAAGGTCATTGTCATGAGCATATCTATTTATCTATCTATCTATCTATCTATCTATCTATCTATCTATCTATCTATCATCTAACTTGTTCTGTGAGTTCTGTGTCTCATAATTTATTAAAGACCCTAAAGTGTTGCTGAGTACCAGCAGACCTTTTATGGCACACTCTTCTACAGAAATACCAGTGTGGGAGGCAGCCACAGCTTCAAGGATGAATAGAATCGCTGTAGCAGGAATACAAAGAGAAAGAAATAGGAAGTTCTCATTTTTTGTTTTGTTTTAAAATAGGCTTTTAAACTCATATCAGCAACAAATAGCTTTGAAACCCAAGGATTTTGTTTAGGTATAAACTACATCAAAAGCCAGACTAGAGGAGATAGGATAGTCACTGATAGGGGGACATTGAGGAGCCCAACTCCTGAGATCAAAATCTAGTTGGTGATTGGACATGAAAATAGCGGGGGCTTCTGCCTCAGAGTGTGGCTGGGGGAGGACCTTGAGCCTCAGAGGGAGGTGGCCTCTGCCCTGACTCTGAGCTGGAGGCAGTGAAAGCTGTTGGCAATGGATGGACAGAAAGCCAGCCTCAGGGCTCGCCCACCCAGGAGGTGGGGAAGAATAGCTGCCTTTCGGTGCCCTGTGAAGGCTGTGGAGGTTGGGACAGAATGAAGGAGTGAGGGAATGAGAGAAAGAGAGAGAACAAGCCAGGAGAGCTCACCCTGGCATGCGGGAGGCCACGGTGTAATGCACCATGAATCATCAAGCCAGGGATCTTACGAGAATAAACTTATGCTTCACCTGATGCACTGTGGAGGGGATGGCTTCCTGAGGCTCAGACTGGATGTCACATTTTAGCAGACAACAGAAATAAATGCCAACTCTCAGAGAGGAGCAGAGATAAGGCGAGCAGCAAATACCAGTGTGGTGTGCAGACAGTAGCCCAGGACCCAAAGCCTGGAAGTCATGTAAGCCTGCTGTGCACACCCCTACTTCCCGCTCCCAACTGAGATGTAGCCGTAGGGTAGAACAAGAAGGACAGATTTAACTGTTTTTTTAAAAAAATATATTTCTTTATTGATCTCAGAGAGGAAGGGAGAAGGAGAGAGAAACATCAATAATGAGAGAGAATCACTGATTGGCTGCCTCCTGCACACCCCACACTGGGGATTGAGCCCGCAACCCAGGCATGTGACCCTGGCTGGAATCGAACCTAGGACCCTTCAGTCTGCAGGCTGACGCTTCATCCACTGAGCCAAGCTGGCCAGGGCAACTGGTTTAAATCTGAAACAACTGAGAAAAACCAAGAAGGGACCAAGTTTAGGTGTGTATTACTTAGGAATGCTCTTGGCTGCAAGTAAGAGAAAAGCCAAATTATCAGAGGCTTAAATCATAAGATATTTATTATGTGTCTAACAAGAAGTTTTGATATCTAGGTGGCCTGTATGGTCTAGTTGCCCAGTAATGTCATCAAAGATATGGGCTCATTCTGTCTTTAGGCGCTGTCATTCATAATAGTGTTGGAGTTTGTCTTATCAAAAATGCTTATCATTTATGGTCACAAGATAGCTGCTGCCGTTCCAAGCACCATGTCTATATTTACGACCAGAAAAAGAGGAAACTCTCTTGTTGCCATCCCCGTTTAGGAGGAAGGAAAAGTTTTACCATGTGGTCCTTAGGAGACCTTCTCCCACTCATGTCTCGCTGACCAGGACTGGGCCAGTGACGGTGTGTAGCCAAAGTGAATGGGATGCCCTGGCCGGCATGGCTCAGTGGTAGAGCGTCTGACCGTGCACAGAAGGGTCGAGAGTTCGATTATCAGTCAAAGGCATGTACCTGGGTTGCAGGTTCATTTGCCCCAGTTGGGGGGGGGTGAGGGGGGCAGGGAGGCAGCCAATTGATGTGTCTCTCTCACATCAGTCTCTCTTTCTCTTCCCCTAAAAATCAATGGGGGAAAAAATCCTCCAGTGAGGATTAACAATAACAAAAAAGAAGCAAGCTGTGGAAGTTTAAACATAGCGTGATATCATATATTAAAGTTTTTTTAAAAAAAAAAAAGTGAATGGGCCTTGACCGGTTTGGCTCAGTGGATAGAGCGTCGGCCTGCAGACTGAAGGGTCCCAGGTTCGATTCTGGTCAAGGGCATGTGCCTTGGTTGCGGGCACATCCCCAGTGGGGGGTATGCAGGAGGCAGCTGATCGATGTTTCTCTCTCATCGATGTTTCTAACTCTCTATTCCTCTCCCTTCCTCTTTGTAAAAACTCAATAAAAAAATAAAATAAAATAAAAATAAAAAGTGAATGGGAGCCTGACGGTATGGCTCAGTGGTTGAGCATCCATCTATGAACGAGGAGGTCACGGTTCGATTCCTGGTCAGGGCACATGCCCTGGTGGTGGGCGCAATCCCCAGTGTGGGGCGTGCAGGAGGCAGATGACAATGATTCTCTCTCATCATTGATGTTTCTCTCCCTCCCCCTCGCCCTTCCTCTCTAAAATCAATAAAAACATATTTTAAAAAAGTGAAGGAGATTATCAATATGATCCAAGTCCTAACCCCAACCCATCACTTCTCTCCTAACTCAACATTATCCTAAATTTTGTGATCATTTCGTTTCCTTTATTCCTTTTATGTTTAAAAATAAATAAATACTGAGGTACATTTATTGACTATATAGAATAAAATTTCAAAACACGTATATGCTTCTCACTCCTTTTAAGAAATGGCATATTATCTTTATATTTGAAGCCTCCAATAGGCCCCTCCCTAAATACAACATCTTTCCTCCCCCTACTCTAGTGGTAACCCCGATTACCTTCATTAAAAAGGAAAACTTTTTAGTAAGGACATTTTCAAACATGTGCCAAAGTAGAGAGAAGAGCATAATGTAACCAGATGTGCCCATCACTTAGCTTCAACCATGATCAACATGTGACTAACCTTGTTTCATTTTACCCCTCTCCCCAGGAATTATTTTAAAACAAGTTCTAGACATCATATAGTTTCATCTGTAAATGTATCCGTATGTACCTCTAATAGATAAGGATTATTTTTATTAACATGACCACAATACCCTTCTCATAGCTTAGAAAAACAGCAACAATTCACACTAATATCATCAAATATTCCGTGTTCAAATATCCAATTGCTTCACAAATGCCATAATTTAAAAAATATTTATAGTTTGTCTCAATTAGGATCTAAATAAGGTTCACACTTCAAAATTAGTTGAAAAGTCTCTTTTAATATATAGGTTCCACCCTAGCTGGTTTGGCTCAGTGGATAGAGCACTGGCCTGCCAACCAAAGGGTCCTGGGTTCGATTCCAGTCAAGGGCACATGCCTTAGTTGCAGACTCCTCCCCGGCCTGGCAACCAATCAAAGTGTTTTTCTCACATTGGTATTTCTCTCTGTCTTTCACTCTCTCTAAAAATCAATGAAAAAATATCCTCCGGTGAGGATTAAGTAATATATAGGTCCCCCTCCTTTTTTCCCTTGCAATTTATCTGGTGAGGAAACTCGTTTATCCCTAGTCTAGAGTTTGCCACAGTCAGGATTTAGCTGATTACATTCCTTGATATATTTGGCAGGTTCCTCTGTCCTGTGTATTTCTTTTTTCTTTTTTTCACCCTGCCGCCCCCCACCCCCCTTCCAGCTAGATCTGTCCTGTGTATTTCTTGTAAACTGATATCTGGTTTGTCTTAGTTTGATTACTTCTTAGGTGACTGTGCAATGACTTCTTTTTTGGTTGTTAATCCTCACTCGAGGATATTTTTCCATTGATTTTTAGAGAGAGTGGAAAGGATGAGAGAGACACAGAGAGAGGAACATCGATGTGAGAGAGACACATTGATTAGTTGCCTCCTGCATGCGCCCCCACCCCGGCCAGGGATCGAGCCTGCAACTTTAACCAGAATCAAACCCCAGGCCCTTCAGTCCGAGGGCCGATGCTCTATCCACTAAGCCAAACCGACCAAGGCCTTCTAAAAAATATATTTTTTTTATTGATTTCAGTTTGCTCCTTGATACGGATCTTTAATTTTAATGTGTATGTCAATTTTCTACCTCCTGCACATCCTTCTTGCTAGGAGATTGGCTGGTTTACCTGAAAGCATAAACAAGCACGATGTGTTATGGATCCATCAGCTGTTGATACACAGTGGCCAGCACTTTGGGCTGATACCTGTTTTTGTGGAATACTCAGAAATTATATCAAGATCCCATAATATACCTAACTATCTTGTAAACTGATATCTGGTTTGTCTTAGTTTGATTACTTCTTAGGTGACTGTGCAATGACTTCTTTTTTGGTTGTTAATCCTCACTCGAGGATATTTTTCCATTGATTTTTAGAGAGAGTGGAAAGGATGAGAGAGACACAGAGAGAGGAACATCGATGTGAGAGAGACACATTGATTAGTTGCCTCCTGCATGCGCCCCCACCCCGGCCAGGGATCGAGCCTGCAACTTTAACCAGAATCAAACCCCAGGCCCTTCAGTCCGAGGGCCGATGCTCTATCCACTAAGCCAAACCGACCAAGGCCTTCTAAAAAATATATTTTTTTTATTGATTTCAGTTTGCTCCTTGATACGGATCTTTAATTTTAATGTGTATGTCAATTTTCTACCTCCTGCACATCCTTCTTGCTAGGAGATTGGCTGGTTTACCTGAAAGCATAAACAAGCACGATGTGTTATGGATCCATCAGCTGTTGATACACAGTGGCCAGCACTTTGGGCTGATACCTGTTTTTGTGGAATACTCAGAAATTATATCAAGATCCCATAATATACCTAACTAGAGGCCCGATGCACGAAATTCCTGCAAGAGTAGGCCTTCCTTCCCCCAGCTGCCAGCACAGGCTTCCCTCTGGCATCTGGGACCGGGCTTCTCTCCGGCCCAGCTCCATCTGGTCTAATTAGCATATTACCCTTTTATTATTATAGATAGTTTAAATAAGCATATGATCTCAGAGGTGTTGTTTGGGAGATTTTCCCTAAAAGTAACATCTTATACTTGGACACAAGCCATTGGTTCTCTTTCTGCTTGCTGACATTATCTTGTAAAATTTAGTAGATTGGAAGTTGTCCTCAGACCACCTGTATCATAATCAACTGAGAGTTTGTTTTAAAAAATGCTGGTTCTCGCCGAAACCGGTTTGGCTCAGTGGATAGAGCGTCGGCCTGCGGACTGAATGGTCCCAGGTTCGATTCCGGTCAAGGGCATGTACCTGGGTTGCGGGCACATCCCCAGTAGGGGATGTGCAGGAGGCAGCTGATCGATGTTTCTCTCTCATCGATGTTTCTAACTCTCTATCTCTCTCCCTTCCTCTCTGTAAAAAAATCAATAAAAATATATTATATAAAAAAAATGCTGGTTCTGGCCCAGATCTCTGTAAAAAATCAACAAAAATATATTTTAAAAAAAATGCTGGTTCTGGCCCAGGCAGCTTGGCTCAGTGGTTGAGCGTTGACCTATGAACCAGGAGGTCAGGGCTCGACTCCCAGTCAGGGCACATGCCCAGGTTGTGGGCTCGATCCCCAGTGGAGGGCGTGCAGGAGGCAGCCGATGATGGTTCTCTCTCATCATGGAGGTTTCTATCTCTCTCTCCCTCTCCCTTCCTCTCTGGAATCAATACAAATATATATTTTTTTAAAATGCTGGTTCTGGGAACAATTCCAGATCTTCTGAAACAGAATTTCTTAGGTTGGGATCTAGGGGGTAGCATTTTTAACAAGTTCCGTAGGGGATGCTAAGGTGTGCTAAAATGTTAGGATTACTATCCTATAGTATATGGCATTTACCACCTAATATAATGTTCTTTAACTTCCTTATATACATGTCTTATTTCCCCATCTAGATAAGATTCCCTAGGCAAAGGTTTATACCTTTGCTAGATGGCAATCGCATTTTCCAAATTAAAAAACAGATTTGGAATGGGGGTGCTATTAGCCTCGTCCTGATTTCCAATAATAATAACAAATGCTACGTGAGTGCTTACTATGGGGCCAGATTATTCTCATTAAGTATTCCTGATGACTCTGCAAAGTGGACATTTGAAGGAAACAATTTATAAAAAGGCGTAGGGAAGTTACATAAGTAGCTGGAGGGCACAGAACTAGCAACTGCAGAACTGAATTTGCACTCCGGCACGACTGACTCCAAAGTCCCAGCCCTTCTCACCACCCCTTGCTGTCGCCTCCTCTTTACTTCTCAGTGTCCGGGTTTGGGACTCAAAAGATAGGGTCACTCCACTCACCCTGCTTGGAACCCTCTGCACTCAGACCCAGCAGGCACTCCACACGGGGGTGTGGTTGATGCGATTGCATTACTCTTAAGAGCTAATAAAAAATTTAGGTGAAGAGTCGTAGCAATTGAAAAGGCTTTTGAAAGAGAATGGTAAAATAATTAAATTCTCCAGTAATTCCACCTGTTGGGAGGTGGCTTCTCTGAGTTTGGTGGAGGAATTTGGGAAAGTTGGAAGCAGTTTATCAAAAACCTTCCCTAGCTCTTCCTTTGGCTCGCCTCATAGGTACAGTTGTTGAGTGATATCCAAACCAGCATTTAAAAGGAAGACAATGAGTCCTGTTCACTGGGTGCCTCTAGCCCTGCTTCTAATTGTAACAGCCCAGAGACCGTATTTTCTTTAATCTGCCCTTCCCCTTTGACTCAAACTGGCTTCACCCAGGGCCTTGACTCACTCACCTCCTTCTCCCTTGCTTACTCATTAAGCCTCGGGTCAGTGAGGCCCTGGTCAGCATCCACTAGTCTTAGGAACAAGGTCCTGGCCTACTGACTACAGAGTCAGAGTTCTCAGTCAAACTAAAGGTAATGTCTTAGCCCTCGCCGGTTTGGCTCAGCGGAAAGAGCATTGATTCCAGTCAAGGCCACGTACCTCGGTTGCAGGCTCTGGTGTTAGGAATCCAATCGATGTGCCTCTTTCACCTCGATGTTTCCCTCTCCCCCCCCCTCCCTTCCACTCTCTCTAAAAATCAATGGAAAAATATCCTCAGGTGAAGATGAACAACAACAAATAAATAAACTAATTAATAAAAAAAGAGAGCTGCTTAAAAAAAAAAAAGATAATGTCTTGGCCTCAGTTGTTAGCTCAGCGCCCAGAAAAGCAGAACAGATCCCACTGAACAAATCCTTGCAAATTCAGAAAGAAGAACTCCATGGCTAACATCAGGACCAGATGCAACGATCAATTACCCCTAGCCTCAACCCATCAGTAGAGAACATGACCCTAACTCCTTCAGCCACCATGATTGACGGTTTTTCCCCTATATAATCCATCGCCTGGAAGCCATCGGGGAGCCAGGTCTTTGAGCATTAGCTCACTTGTGACTCTTGGGCATGGTGCCATCTCCTTAATGAATCCTTCCTTTCTTGGCTGCAAACTCCTGTTCGTGTCTTATTGGGCTTTGATGAGCACAAACGGACCACTTCAGTCCGGGGCCCGTAACATGATCCCAAGGCCAGTTTGTCTTGCGGTCCAGGCTTGTTCTCTCTTGCATCTGGTGTCGGATAGGTGGGTTTAGGTGACTATCTTGTACCAGCTGTCTCCTTTCGAGCTCAAGTGATTACTCATCTGTTACTTGTTCCCGGGTGTTGGAAGGGGCTGAGTTGGGTGTCATAGTTCTAGCCGAATAAGCAGTGTGGCTTCTCTTCACGGGGAAGGCCACCTCCTGGTGCAGCACAGCCCCAGTACTTGAAGCAGAGGGAGGAGCAGGACTCTCGTTACCTATTTTCCCCCTGAGAGGCACGGCCCCAAAGACAGTTGCTTCTCAAGCTTTATAGGATTCGGGGACTCAAAGGGCACTCATGCTCAGGGATGAAAGACTTAAGTTAGAGTTTTTAAAAAATGGCCCTGCCCGGTTTGGCTCAGTGGATAGAGCGTCGGCCTGTGGACTGAGGGGTCCTGGGTTCAATTCCGGTCATGGGCATGTACCTTGGTTGTGGGCACATCCCCAGTAGCGGGTGTGCGGGAGGCAGCTGATCGATGTTTCTAACTCTCTATCCCTCTCCCTTCCTCTCTGTAAAAAATCAATAAAATGTATTTTAAAAAATAAAAAATGTATATTTTTATTGATTTCAGAGAGGAAAGGAGAGGGAGAGATGGAAACATCAACGATGAGAGAATCATTGATCAGCAACCTCCTACATACCCCACACGGGGGATCAAGCCCGCAACCCGGGCATGTACCCTGACCGGGAATTGAACTGTGACCTCCTGGTTCCTAGGTTGATGCTCAACCACTGAGTTATGCCGGCTGGGCTAAGCCAGAGTTTTTGCTCATTGTGCAGAGATGTCTCAGATTCATCATTCATTTTAATCCAAATCTTAGCTATTCTTCTTTCCCAAGGTGAGGTAATCATAACACCTTTCAGAAAATGTCCCCAACATAGGCTCACACTTTTGTCATCTTCTCAAGGGAAGCCAAGTATAAACAGAACTTTAAGACACCCTTATGTACCTCACAATAAAGCACTACATTATCTTATTTCCATCATCACATCAATCCTTAAAGCAAATCTGTAGATCATTTTTAGTCATTTTAATGATTTTGTTTTAAAACATCGTTCACAGATATTGATCCCAGGAATGGAATCCCAACGTTAACTCCAGGAGATAATCCATATATGTACCCAGAACAGAGTAAGGACTTCTACAAAGTAGGAGCAACTCTCCCACCAGTGAATTTTTCATTGTAAGTATATGCTAATACTAGGGTTATTTAGTTAAATTTAAAGGACTTGTATCTTTCTTTACTACATATAAATTCCATTTTAAAAAGGGTAGATCTCAATAAAACATGGTTGGTGAAAATTCCTAAAAATGTCCATATGTAGTTCATTAATGTATGCACACATATGAGTATATAATTAAAATTATATGTAGGATCTTTACTACAAAAAGTGGTTGTTAATTTTACTCCTATTATTATTACCACAACTTTTAAGACTTTTCTATTTTCATACGGAATCAGGTTTTTGATTAGTGACTACTAGTTGGGTTCACTTATACTTGGAACTAAACTTAGACCAAAGTGACTAAGGAAAAAGGGAGTGTCATTAAATTAAAAGAAAAATAGTTGGTGTATTACATTAAAAATACCAATTAAAAATAAACTGTTTGATTTAATGATGTTCATTAAAAATTATAAAATAGGCATTACGGCCCTTACAGTTTTAAAGCCCATAGATGACAATTAAAATGAGAAAATAAGACATCTTATTGAACGCAATGATGTATTGACCTCTTTGCTGTAGATGCAAGTCAATTTTATGACCACCTTTCTGTTTTTCAGAGTGCCTTATGAAAAGAAACTTGATACATTTATTCCACTTGAGCCTCTTCCACCAATTCCCAAGTGAGTTCTCCCACCATGTTTTTTTTTATTATCCTACTAGAGGCCTGGTGCACAAAATTTGTGCACTTGGAGGGGGGGGGCCCTCAACCCGGCCTGTGCCCTCTCATAGTCTGGGATCCCTTGGGGGATGTCTGACTGACGGCTTAGGGGAGTGGGCCTAACCCGTCAGTCGGACATCCTTAGTGCTGCCACAGAGGCAGGAGAGGCTCCCACCACTGCCACTGTGCTCGCTAGCCATGAGCCTGGCTTCTGGCTGAGCAGCACTCCCCCTGTGGGAGCGCACTGACCACCAGGGGGCAGCTCCTGCATTGAGCTCCTGCCCTCTGGTGGTCAGTGCACATCATAGTAAGCGGTTGAGCGGCCTTAGCATCCTTAGCATATCATTAGCACATTACGCTTTGATTGGTTGAATGAATGACTGGACAACCAGACACTTAGCCTATTAGGCTTTTATTATATAGGATCTTTATGAAAATATCAATTATTATTTTCTCCTATGGAGGAACTCATAGACACCCAACACACAGGGACCTTTTGAATCCCAGCAGGTAGGCAGGGCAGTTTGTATAGAGGGTTGTTGGTGAGACACTTGGAGGCAAGTCTCTGTGGATTCTGACAGCTGGGTTGCTCACAAGATATGATTGACAAACTACCAGATGCCAGGTGGTGTGCTAGGTATGCACTATGTGTGTGTGTGTGTGGGGGGGGGGCGTAAATGGAGCAAAAAGACAAGGTCCCTGATTTCTGAAACATACGAGAGTGCTGGCAAAGAAAGACACATGCTTAAATGAGTGCATTCAGGGAGGATGGTTAGAGTGTGAAAAGGCAGAGAGGAAGCCATTGGAGTATTCCTGTATTTGAATAAAGTATCATTCATCTGATTTCATATTTTGGCTTAGTTCCATTCTGAACTTTACTTACTGAAGTAAGGTTCCAACCTAGAAAGAGTGTCAGTATATTACTTTTTGTTCTGCTATTTTTACTTGGGCTTCTATTATTTGGGTTTGTCTTTAAATGATAGCTTTAAATGATAACTTTCATGCCCAATATTGTCTACATCAAGCATGTCAAACTCAAAGACTAACATGGGCCAAATAAACAAGGTTTAAGTTTATGTGGGCTGCAAAAATATCCAAAAGCTTCAGTTTTCAAAGAAACGTAGGTTTATTTCAATAGAGACATGCTCAATACAAAGGGCTGAAATAAATGAGTCATCATTAACATAAAATAATAGTACATTTTAATAAAAATTAATATTTTTTCTTGAACATTAACTTACCAGACACTGAATAACTGCACAAATTAATAAGCGTAACGCAAATAAACCTATTTTTCTTGTTCTCCGAAATCGAAATATTTCCTGTTGCGCACACCAAACAAGTCAGTAAAGACTAATGACGTGGCCATCAGCTGCTAAAATATTTGCTGCTAGCAGTAGTGGAGAGAAATGGTGCACCTGCGCTTAAGGCCCGTAAAGGAAATGAATGCAACACAGTTATAGTAATTGGTCATTAACAAACATTGTAGTTCGTTATTAATAATTATGTAGAACAGGATATTGTAAAAATTAAGTTATGAAATTTTTATTAAAACGTATCTTACATATCGTTATATTGGCTGGGCCGCAAAAATATTCATTGTGGGCTGCATGTGGCCTTCGGGCTGCGAGTCTGACATGCTTTGGTCTACATGGTACTTCTCTTTCTCCTTGCAGGCTCTTCCCTACCCTCAACAGGTCTATCAGGGCTTTCCCCCACCCATGGTGCATTTCTCCTTAATACAGCGGTTCTCAACCTGTGGGTCGCGACCCCTTTGGCGGTCGAACGACCCTTTCACAGGCGTCGCCTAAGACCATCCTGCATATCAGATATTTACATTACAATTCATAACAGTAGCAACATTACAGTTATGAAGTAGCAACGAAAATAATTTTATGGTTGGGTCATTACATGAGGAACTGTATTTAAAGGGCCAGAAGGTTGAGAACCACTGCCTTAAAAGAATGGAAGTTCTAGCTACCAAAACATAAAAACATTCTTAGTCTCACTGCCTGATAGAGCTGCACACACAGCCCAGCCCAGAATATGTCATTTCAAATCTCAACAGATCTGGGAGGACCCTGGGTGTTTGCATTAGCTGAAGTCCCAGCAGAAAACAGAAGGCACACTCAGCTGGGATTCTGAAGGCAGTTTAATGAAGGAAGTGTTTACAGATGTGTGAGCAAGTTGTGAGAACTCACATGGGAGGGTGACGCACCCAGGGGCTCCCGGCAGTGGGAAGCTTTTACTACTCCTACGCTGAGTAGCAAGAGGAGGAATCATGGTTTGCAGAGCAGTGGGAGTAGAAGGGCTGTTCAGAAGGAGTTGTGGCAGTGGAGAATGTGGCCCCTGCCAGAACTGGGGTACCTCAGGAGACAGGGCAGGAACTAGGTAAGAAATATCCCACCCTGTCTCCTCACCTTCTCATCTTCAGTTGGTTCCTCTCATTAGCCAAGCCCAACTCAGAGAGGAGTCAAGCTAATGACAGCTGCAGGGGTCAGCTTCCCGGACAGAGAAGGGCAGAAGAAGAAAGATCTGGGTGTGGGGCAGGGGCAACTGGTGAACAATTGGCATGGTGTTTTATGTTGACACTGATCTTCTAAATTGGAGGCCTTCTTACTGACCATGCTTATAAATTTGCATCAGACAAATGCAAACTCAGGGTGTTGTTTTCTCCTTACAGCTTGCCTTTCTGGGTAAAGGAGAAGGCCAACATGCTGAAGAATGAGATAAGAGAAGTTAAGGAGCTGGACAGTTGGCAGTCATCGATCCCTTTGATACAGAGTTTGTACTCTACTGGTGGGTTAAAAAAACCTTCAAAAAAATAGCATAAAAACTGGAGGCCAGCCCAGAAGAGCAGGCTTTTGAGCGGCTTCTCCATGGAGAGGAGAAAAGGAAGAGCCTCTCCCAGAGTGGATGGTGTCTTTTGCCCCAGGTGGTCCCAGGTGGCCCCACTTCATGGGTTGAGTGTGTTGGTTGAGAACTCTTAGTCTTTTTGTTTGTTGTTTTTTCCCATGGATATTTTTTCCCATGGATATTTAGAGAGTGGAAGGCACAGGGAGAAACAAAGAGAGAGAAAGATGGATGTGAGAGAGACACATTGATTGGTTGCCTCCCATATGAACCCCGACTAGGGCCAGGAATCGAGCCTGCAATGAGGTACGTGCCTTTGACCAGAATCAAACCTGGATCCTTTAGTCCACGGGCCAATGCTCTATCCACGAGCCAAACTGGCTAGGGCAGAGAATTCAGTCTTTTAATGGAACACAACCTTTAATTCCATGCCTCTGTCCACAGGTACTTTGGACCTTCCAAGACATTCCTGAGAGAAACAGGCCCAGAGGGCATGCACCGGGCCCTCTGGGGAGCCTCTTCCAGTTGATTGCATCTGTCTGTGTGGCTGTTCTCAATCAAATGTCTGACTTTGATAAGGAATCACTGTGCCTTGCCTTTTTTAACTTTATATTTTGAAAACTTTTAAACTTACAGAAAAATTGCGAGAATCTACAAATACCTACATATCCTTCACCTAGATTCTATGAGTGTTGACATCCGTCCAAATTTGTATGCATGCTCTCTCTCATATTATTGCTATTATTATTTTGCTGAATTATTCTAGAGTGAGTGGCAGACATCATAACCCTTTGCCCCGCCACACCTGTAAACTTTAGTATATATCTCCTATGGTCAAGGATATTCTCCAACAACCACAATGCAAATATCAAATTCAGAGAATTTTAACACTGATACAATACCCCCACTGTACAGTCAATACTCAGTTTTATTCTGTTTAATTTTCTAAGGATGCCCTCAAATTGATGGTAAAATGCAGACATGTGAGCTTTCATTAATGTTGGTAAAATTATTTTTATTTCATTAATTCCTTTTGAGATTTTCTCTATTATCCACTCAATACATGTCAGAAAAACGTGAAGGCTGGCTCTCCATCAGGTAATTAATGCTAGTACTCCATTCCCCACTTCTGTATTGTCTGCTTACACAGCCAAGCAGGATGACAGCTCAGTGAGCACCAGCCATGAGTCTTAGGATCTCTCATCAATCAGGCAAGAAGCAAACATTTGGAGGAGGTGGATACAAAAGCCACCCCTGTACAGCCAGGCTGTGACTCTCAGCAGTCAAACCAATGACTCAGCATTTTCATAGCCAATCTCCTTCTCCACTGAGACCCCACTGGTTGGCTACTGAAAGGTACAAATCTGACCTCCCTAAAACCTTAGAGTGGAAAGAGAGAATTTGGCCCATGCAGAGACTCAGAGTGCCCAAGACATGAGACACAATTTCTTTTCCTGTCAAACATTGTCTTCATGTTCTTGGTGGAAGCTGGGTATCCCTCTCCCCACTGAGTGCTGGGGGTTGGGTCCTTATGATATCTCGAGAAGGAATATTTTCTGAGACTTGCACAGGAGGATGAGTGATCTTTATTTGCATGGAATTACATCTCTAGGTTTGCAAAGTCCCATTTCCCTTAAACCATCCTGGAAGATGGGCAGCTGGGGATTCAGCAGAGCTAAGAGTGAAGAAGCCAGTGTCCAGAGTTTCCGTTCCATGGTAGAACTGGGTCTGGTGTAGCATTAGGCTAATTGTAGTCCTTAGTCCATTATGTGGGGTCCACATGGCTGTGGGCGAATGCAGGTGCGTGAGGGTCCTGCAGGCCAGGTGTCAGGCCTGAGCAAGCAAGGGAGCAAGAGCAACAAGAGAGGGGATTCCTTAGTTTAGGTGCTTATGTACCTCAAATCTTCCTGCACTTGCAGTGGCCATGTCTACTCTGGCCACTGACCTGTTCCCAGGTGTGATGGACAGGCAAGTACCTTCCCTAGGTCACCCAGACTTTACTGGGCATGCATCTGTATTGCAGCTGTCTGGCAAAGCTGCACAATGGCATTCCTATAAAATCTGGCCTTCCATTTGCTCCTTTCCAGTTATTTATGAATAACCAAGTTCATTCCAACAGTGTCATTCAGACCCAGCCAAAGCGATGAGGCAGGCTTAGAGCACGGCACATTCATGCTCTCGTCATACATGCCTTTAGACAATGAGCATAAAACATGTGGCTACTGCCAGCAACTGCACCTGACCCCCCTCAGGTTAGCATCAGCGTATCTCTGTGCTGATTCTCTTACCCGGGATACAAGGCCCACCCTGCTCCCCAACAAAACCCAGGAAAGAAAATAAAATGAAATAATGTAGAAACAGGAAAAAAAGAGATTGCCAACAGATTTTTCTCAAAAACATCGACTTCTGTAAAAACTAATATTTGTGTCCTTCTGTTACTTAAAGTTTAAGTATGTCAACTGCAGTGTCCTGTGTGGGCGGATAATGGAGAACACAACCTACTAGTAGATGAACACGAAGGTTCTGCAGGAAACTCCAGATGGGATTACCCACGTGGAACAGGAAACTGCCTGGAGGGCAGGAGTCCCACACAGGAAAGGGATTAAGAAAAACAACCAAAATACAGTTTCAGAAGATTTGTAGTCGTCTTTACATTTCCAAGAGGTCTATATAATTCCTAGGTGCTACTCTAAGCCGGAGTAGATATGATTTAAACATGTTATCAAATGCATACATTTCTGAAGTTGCAGGGCCACATTCCATCCCCTGGAAATCAGGGCAATTTTTACTGGATTTGTGAATTTCTGTGGGCACTTACTTCTCCGTGGCCAGGCCTTCCTCCATGGCACTCCTGACTGCTGACAGGTGAAGAGCTCCATCACTCACCCTCACGCACATGTTTGTGCTCACCCGTGGGTGTTTTGAGGAGACTAAGTGTGAGAATAAACAAGTCATCCTTTCTGTCAAAGAACAGTTTAGACAGCCGCCATTTTGGACTGCGTGACTTGCAGCTCCCCTGGGGGCCAACCCCTCCCTTTGAATTAGCTAATCACGAAAGGCTGTGAGCCTGAGCTCCAATCAAGAGTGAGGGACAGGTTGTGTGTGTCAGGATTAAAAAGCAGAGCAGACCGCCTGCTCAATGTGCGCGTGCTCCCAGACCACGTGCTGCACGCCCTCCTGCAGGAGTAAAGGTAGAGAAGCCTAAAAGAGAACAAGGGCAGATAGAGAAACGAGATCCCTTGTCCTGCCTTTCCCACCCTATGTGATTGGGGAACAATCTGCCTTGCTGCCTGGCTCCTGAGTATGCTTTGTGTTCTACCAGGACCTCTGAATTTGGGGACTCGCCTTATTTCTTACAATTTGGGGGCTCGTCCGGGATACCATTGGTCGTCATGGGGCAAATTGGACCCCTCTTCTGAGGAAGTGTGCTCCGCTGCCAAGTTGCGGTGGCCTTGGTGAGGAGGGACAGCCATTACCCCTGGGCTGACTACAAGCTTGGGATCGAGAGTCAGCCAGCAACGCAGGAAGGGCCCAAGCAAGAACTGCGGCAGTCAGGTAACCTCATGCGTGAGCCAAGGTGGGAAATTGGACTGAGTACTACTGTGGTGATTGTGTATCCTTGGAGGTCAGGTATATGTGACTGGGATGTGTGTTGGACATAAAGTGAGTGTGGAGTTCTGATCTGTGGTTCCATTCTCCTGCGAGGGAAGTGGCCAGAGGGAGACGAAGATGATCTCGGGGAGTATGAGAAACCTCCAACATAGGAGGTTGAGTACAAAATCACAAAGGACCTACCGAGGATGGGAAACAGAAATTCTAGGCCTAGGGAATACATTCCTCTGAAATAGTCCATTGGGAGAATGCCGAGATTCTGGGGAGGGGCAGTTCCTGAACCAGGGACAGAAGAGATTGCTCTGCTTTAGTGGTTCTTAATGCAGGGGATTCTGTGGTGTAAACTTTTAGTGTGTTGTGTGTGCCTGTGAAAGAATTTTTCTGTTGATGTTTTATGTCTCTTCATTGTTTGTTTAATTTGTTTAAAGATGGGGCAAGTCCCGCTTTGGGGAAGCCCAGTTATGCATGGTTAGGCTGAACACGTGACAGAGATTGCAGAATGTCCCATCAGCTGCCAAGAATCGTTAATCTTGGGGACTCTTCCTGCTCTCCCACTCAGGGTGTTAGCCACCAGAAACTCTTAGCTAGTGAGACTTCTGTCTGTGTGTCTGTAATGTAATGTTGGCTTTCTATCTTTTAGTGACTTTATTCGCTCTTTCCTGGTTTATGAATATGGGGAAGTAAGCTATGCAGGCTGGGTTGGGCAACAAGGTTAATGCTTCCATGATAATAGGCAGTTCTTGAATGAGGATGGAATGCATTCCAAGGGTGACTCCCAGGTCCCGAGGCGTACGACTCCCAGCCAGGTTGGTATGTCCTTTCTTTGAACAGAAAGGGCAATCATAGTTAACAGTATAATTAATACTTCCCATAACCATAACTAGTCATCAATGTTCTGTTTTTCCCCATAACACTGGGAGGAACAGATCTGTAGAAGTACCCTCTAGCAGTAAAGTAGGGGCAGTCCTGTTTTGTTTTTTTTTTTTAATATGTTTTATTGATTTTTTTACAGAGAGGAAGGGAGAGGGAGAGAGAGTTAGAAACATTGATGAGAGAGAAACATCGATTCAGCTGCTTCCTGCACACTCCCTACTGGGGATGTGCCCGCAACCAAGATACATGCCCTTGACCAGAATCGAACCCGGGACCCTTGAGTCCGCAGGCCAACGCTCTATCCACTGAGCCAAACCGGTCAGGCGGCAGTCCTGTTTTTATAGAGAAAAATAAAATAGTACTTTCACACTGAGTTATCCCTCTTACAAAATTGGTCAAGAAAATGCTTTAGGTAATAATTGGCTTTAAAATCTTATAGTTGTTAAGATATAATAAATAGATGTAACTAAAATGAGGGACTTATGATAAAGCTTTTCAGTAATAATTATAAATAATGTTAATAATAAAAGTCCAGTCACTCAAGAAGAGATTGACTATGCTCTCTGTTGGAGGAAAGGGCCAGTCATCCCTTTCCCTGTAAAAGTAGAGAAGCCTAAAAGAGAACAAGGGCAGACAGAGAAATGAGATCCCTTGTCCTGCCTTTCCCTCCCTATGCGACCGGGGGACAATCTGAGGGAACATCCAAGATTTACAATCCCAGCCTCCCCCTCAGGAGGAGGGCTGTCCTGATAAGGCTCCAACCAGTCCTGAGGCCTCTGCACCACCAGGAACCAGTTTTTCTAGGTTGTGAAAGGAGTTGGAGCAGTGTAAACAAACGAACAAACAAACAACAGAGTTAAAACCTCTGCTGGAAGACCCACGTGGCCTAGCTGACCAGCTAGACCCATTTTTGGGCCCACAAGTGTATACATAGACCCGAGTCAATGTCTATCTTGGGAATGTTTTTCTCAGGAAAAGAAGGGGGATTGATTTGAAGGTTGGGTATGTCTATCTGGGAAAGGGAGCATATGGGTCACAGAGAAAAAGGAAGGGACCCCTCACTGAGCCTTTAGATCCCAAGGCCACATTCTCACCCCCTTCCCAAAGAACATTTTACTTAACAGTCCGGCTACTATCAGAAGCTGAACTCATCACCCAAACCTTAGCATGTTATCTCTAAGGAAAAATGTGGCAGTTTTGAATCCAGGCGGCTAGAGGTCTGGGAACTGGCTGCGGGGCCTGCTCCCTTCTCCCCCCGCCCTTTTCTCCAGCCTCATAGGCATCCTGGGCCTACGCATCATTTCCCAAAGTCTTTGATAACTTACAGGCTTTGGAGCGTTGCTGGGTTAAATAATAAACATCTAAATATTTCGAAGTAACAGGATACTGAAACATTAATTAATTTGAGTTTGCCTCTTAGGGAAAATATAGAGGATGGATTTGAATCTATTAATGAATAAATCTTGTATTTTATTTGAAACTAGAGGCCTGGTGCATAAAATTTGTGCAAGGGTAGGATCCCTAGGCCTGGCTGGCAATTAGGACCGATCTGTGGGGTGACCGGCTGAGAGATTGGGGGCACCTGCCTTGGCCAGCCTGGTGCTGCCTGCTCACCAGCCCCACCCCCCGCTGCCACTGCTGGTCGCCTCCCTGTGTGGGGTGACCGGCGGGGCGATCTGGGGGGCCCCCACTGGCACCCGCCTTGGCTGGCCTGGGGCCTGAGGGCTGAGGGAAGCTCCTGCATTGAGTGTTTGCCCCCTGGTGGTCAGTGTGCATCATAGTGACCTGTCGTTCTGCCAGTCATTCTGCCATTTGGTCGATTTGCATATTAGGCTTTTATTATATAGGACTAGAGGCGCGATGCATGAAATTTGTGCAAGGAGATTGTCCCTCGAAGCCCCGGCCGGCCCTCGCAGCCCTGGCTGCCTCGGCTGGCCCTCGTATCCCCGGCTTTGTCCAGAAGGTCATCCAGACGGTCGTCTGGAAGGTAGACTAGACAGTCATTCTGTTGTTTGGTCTAATTAGCATATTAGTGCTTTATTATATAGGATATCTCTTAAAATGTGAATGTATTGCTAATCTGAGGAATATTAATTACTTACATGCCACCTAAAAATTAAGTTTCTAAGGGTTAAGAATTCTAAAATTATGGTTTTGGTATAATAGAGAAAGCATGAGGCATGAAAATGCATTGTGAAGGAGAAAGAAAGTGGTTTCTAAAGCTGGTTATTTAATGTGTGTAAAAAAAATGTTGAAAAGAAATTGAATAAATAATACAGGCCAGTAAGCGAGGATAAGTAGAATGGGGAAATTGAAATAGTTAAACAGCAATTTGGAGCCATCTAGTAAATCCTATTTTCCCTAAACCAAGGACACTTAAGAGTAAATGATTTGCATTTTGCCTCCCTAAATAGAGAGTAAATAGCTTATATCAATGTACTCAGGGAGACTGATAGCAGAAATCCAATTAGTGTCATTTGCTGACTGCACCCAAGGACAAATGAAGTTAGAAAAATGAAGTTATAAACCTTATTTTGGTTAGTCCTTTTCTGAAGCAAAAGTTCTATAAATTATTATATGTTATATTAATCAGATATTTTTTAAAAAGTAAGCTTAATTGGGGGAACTGGAGTTTTACTAGCTTATGTTTGTGTTTAATACTCTCTGTCACTTTGAATGCTATATAATCTATTGGTAGAATGGGTTTGACAATCTTCCTAGGGTTTAAATTTTAATCAAAAATTTTTTTTTTTTTTTACCTAGAGTTGGCTGCAGTTGATTCCCGTGGGCTCCGGAGTGACTCAACATCTTCCTACAGTGGAAACTAAGGACCAAATTTCTTAAGAACTATGTACTAGGTATCTCTTCTACTTTAATCTCTCTCAGGTTCCAAGGCCTCCTGACCCAAAGCCCTCTTCTTGAGTTTCCGGTTCATCACCATCGACCAGAAGACTATATTTGTTCTAATCAAGACTTGGAAGGGAAACAAGTTGGAACCCTCCTGGAAAGGATCCTACCTGTCTTGCTTACCACAGAGACTGCTGTTTGGACTGTAGAGTGAGGTTGGACCCATCACACACGGGTTAAGGGCGAACACAACTCAACTTGAACGGCCATACCAGGACATATCCCCTTGAAACTGATTCTAAAAACTGTGAGCTGTCTTAATAACCATCATGTACTGAGTTCTATTTGCTTTAGGGATCTGGCAAATTGCAGGGGCTTACAATGTGGGCTGGAGAAAGGTGTACAATCTGAATCGTGCTTACCCAGTTAAATTAATGGTTATAGGTAACTTGAATGACTTGAATATTTCAGCTCTTAGGTCAAAAGATTGGCTAGGACTAGACTTAGGAATAGATGTCACAGGACAAGACCCCCTAGACCAGTGGTCGGCAAACTGTGGCTTGCGAGCCACATGTGGCTCTTTGGCCCCTTGAGTATGGCTCTTCCACAAAATACCACGTGTGGGCACGCACATACAGTGCGATTGAAACTTCGTGGCCCATGCACAGAAGTCGGTATTTTGTGGAAGAGTCACACTCAAGGGGCCAAAGAGCCGCACGTGGCTCGCGAGCCGCAGTTTGCCTACCACTGCCCTAGACCACTGCCACCGCCATGCAAATAGAAGTAGGATATAAGGGAATGAATGCCTGGTTGGAATGGATTAAATATTCTGTACGTGCCCTAAATAAAAGTGACTGTTATGCTTGCGTGGCAGGAAGGCTAGAGGCTCAAGTGGTCCCATTTCCACTCGGATGGACCTCAGACAGTAATGGGATAGAATATGTGCTTGCCTTGTACCAGGAGGAAACTGCCTGGGGAAATGCTTCCTGTAAGACTCTTGCCCTGTTGTTCCCATTCAACAGAGGTAAAGAGCAAGGACCCCCAAAACGATTCGGCCCTCATCCTCCTATGTAAACTATAACTCCTGCCTCTCAAGGGGGTGGGGGTGTGTGTGGGGGGAACAGTATTCGGAGTTTATGAGAAATTTATCCAGATGCGTAAATAGCCAAGTATCCTCAGAAGCCAATCATGCTGCACTGTCGATACCCTGTGCTGATGTCTGGTGGTGTTATGGGGGGCCCTTACTTGTGGCCTTGCCCAGCAAATGGAGTGGAACTTGCACTCTGATACAATTGGCTATCCCTTTCACTTTGATATATCGTAAACCTTTTTCAATGGACAGACAGACTAGGAAGAGGAGAGAGAGTCCAGGAGGCTCCTTTGATCCCCATATATACACAGATTCCATTGGGTTTCCAGGAGGAGTGCCAAAGGAGTTTAAGGCTAGAAATCAGATCACTGCAGGATTTGAATCTGTCCTGTTCTGGTGGCCACTGTAAACAAGAATGTGATTGGATTAATTATATTTACTACTAGAGGCCCAGTGCACAAATTTGTGCACCAGTGGGGTCTCTCGGCCTGGCCTGTGGGATTGGGCTGAAACCAGCTCTCCAACATCCCCCGAGGGGTCCCAGATTGGGAGAGGGTGCAGGCCAGGCCGAGGGACCCCACTGGTGCACGATTGGGGCCGTGGATGGATGGGGGAGGTTGGCCAGCCGGGGAGGGACTGCGGGAGGGCTCCAGGGTGTGTCCCGCCCGTCTCACTCAGTCCCAATCGGCCGGACCCCAGCAACAAGCTACCCTACCGGTCAGAGTGTCTGCCCCCTGGTGGTCATGCATGTAGTAGCGAGTGGTTGAGTGGCCTTAGCATATCATTAGCATATTATGCTTTGATTGGTTGAATGGATGACCGGACACTTAGCATGTTAGGGTTTTATTATCTATAATAATAAAAGCATAATATGCTAATTAGACCAGATGTCTTTCCAGATGTCCTTCTGGACGACCTTCCAGACAAAGCTGGGGCTGCGAGGGAAGGCTGGATCCTGGGTGCCAGAGGGAAGCCAGTGCCGGCAGCCGGGGGAAGGAAGGCCTACTCTTGCATGAATTTTGTGCATCGGGTCTCTAGTATAGGCTTGTTAACTATACTTGAGACACAGTTAAAGGCATAGCTGAACAGCTAGATGCCACCAGCGGGGTGACCTGGGAGAATAGGTTGGCCTTGGATCTGATTCTGGCAGAAAACGAAGGAATATGTGTAATGTTGGGGGTCAGTGTTATACATTCATCCTGACAACACAGCAGACGGACCATCACTGAGGCCCCACAGGCAATGGCAGCTTTAGCTGACAAGGGAGCTGGAGCTTGGGATTGAGGATCCTTTCTCTGAATCACTAGAGCCATGGTCGGCAAACTGTGGCTTGCGAGCCACATGCGGCTCTTTGGCCCCTTGAGTGTGGCTCTTCCACAAAATACCACGTGCTGGTGCGCACGTACAGTGCGATTGAAACTTCGTAGCCCATGCGCAGAAGTTGGTATTTTGTGGAAGAGCCACACTCAAGGGACCCAAGAGCTGCATGTGGCTCGTGAGCCGCAGTTTGCCAACCACTGCACTAGAGCAATGATTTGGAAAGTGGAAGGGACTGATGGTATCCACATTCACCCTTGTGATTAGGAGTTACAGTGATGGGATAGTACATCATCCCATGTATTATCCAAAGGTTAATTGAAACTGCATTGACCAAACAGCAACTTAGTCTTCTCCTACACTGTAGAACAGAGGTCCTCAAACTTTTTAAACAGGGGGCCAGTTCACTGTCCCTCAGACCGTTGGAGGGCCGGACTATAGTTTAAAAAAAAACTATGAACAAATTCCTATGCACACTGCGGTGGCAAAAACACCCGGCGGGCCGGATAAATGTTTTTGGCGGGCTGTAGTTTGAGGCCGCCTGCTGTAGAGCATGAAAGTCAATGAATGTTAGGTGAGTTTGAAGAAAAGAGTTTAAATAAAGAAAAGGGGGAGTTGCAAGAATAACAAGTCATCTTTTCTGTCAAAGAACAGTTTAGACAGCTGCCATTTTGGCCGCATGACTTGCAGCTCCATTGGGGGCCACCATCTTGAAATGGCAAAGGCCAACCCCTCCCTTTGAATTAGCCAATCAAGAAAGACTGTGCGCCTGAGCTGCAATCAAGAGTGAGGAACAGGTTACATGAGTCAGGATTAAAAAGCCGAGCAGACCGCCTGCTCCGTGTGCGCGTGCTCCCAGACCACGTGCTGCACACCCTCCTGCAGGAGTGAAGGTGTTTGCCTTGCTGCCTGGCTCCTGAGTATGCTTTGTGTTCTACCAGGACCCCTGGATTGGGGGCTCGCCTTTTTTCTTACACTAAGGCACAAAGGCCAAATGGGAAAAATATGTTATAGCTGTTCCAGCCCTATCTTCTCCTTTTTAAAAATCCTCACCCAAAGATACTTCTCTATTGATTTGAGAGATGTGAGAGAGAAACATCAGTTGCCTCCCATATGCAACCCAACTGGGGATTGAATTGGCAACCTGGGTATGTGCCCTGACCAGGAATCAAACCCATGACCTTTTGGTACATGGGATGACACTCCAACCAACTCAGCCACACTGGCCAGGGCCCAGCCCTTTCTTCTATCTTGGCACAAAGAGGTTGAACTTCATGGATACGAAGATCCCCTTCATCTCACCTTAGGTTCTTTGATAAATAATAATGTGTGTGCACAGGTGTGTTCATTTTTACTTTATTCAACTGAAGTTTGGAGGTTTAATAAAAACAACCTTTATAGGACATTGACAAGTAAATTCATTAGAATACTTACATTGCACATAAGGTATTCTACTTTCAGATCCTGAGAAAAATGAAAAAAAATGGCCTCTGTAGATTAGAGGGAAAATTGTTACACAGCTGGTGGCACCAAAGTCCAAATAAGCTAAAAGAAGACAATTCCAAGACTGATTCTATAGTCTCTGCCAACTACATTTTCAAAATATTAAGTAATTAGGGTATTAAACTTTTAAAATTCCACAAATGACTTAGGGATATTCTGCATGAGTCCATTGTCAATAGTTCTAGTTTCAGGTATTCAGTTTAGTTAGACTGTTTCCTTCTGCTCTTAGGTGTTTGGCCAGGTAGCTCAGTTAGAGCATTGTCCCGGTACACCAAGGTTGGGGGTTCAATCCCCAGTTAGGGCACATGCAAGAAACAATCAATGAATGCATCAATAAGTGGAACAACAAATCTCTCTCTCTCTAAAAATCAATTTAAAAAAGCAGGTAGGTAAACGCCTTGTTTATAGGATTTGGGCCGGTGAAGTATTTTAGCGTTGGATACTTTAAGATCACGGCAGTGGCTTACAGAGTTCCTTTCCTGGCTGGACAATCAGGAGCGAGTGATACCTCGGCAATGTGCCAGGGGGATACTGGCCAAGTTCCCAGTGGGCTCTGGGAAAGGATGTGGGAGCCTCTTTGAGATGCCTGGTGTCCTTTCCATGTTGGGAAACTCCAGGAGGGGTTATAGCCTGACCTCACACTGGGGGAGGGGGAGTCACTGGCTTGAGGAGCCAACACCTGGACTTGGTACAAAATACAAACATGACAAGTAAACATTTCCTGTGCATGGATGGACTCAGCCTCATATCAAATAAGAAACCCTATACCCAATGACTTGTTTTCTGAGGAAATGTATACACCTCCACAAAATATAGAGAGGGTGTGGGGGCAGCTTCCAGTGGTGGTGGTGAGAGCATGGGTATGATCATCCGGCTAGAAATGTGTTCTTCTGGTTGCGTGCAGTGTGGGCGGCAGTAAAAATTGGGTTTCTCTTAGAAAGGGAGGACAATGAATGCATGAGGCATAATTGTGCTAAAAATTATTTGTTTATCTGAAGTTTAAGTTTAACTGGGAGTTCTATGTTTTTATTTGCTAAATCTGGCAACTTACAGCCGAGGTGGCACAAAGGAGAGGGATTTGATGGCTAAGGAGGAGGTAAAAGTGGCTAGACTCGGAGATGGCTTGGATATGGGTGGGGGAAGGTATGGGAGAAGGAGAAGTGGCCAAGGTGGATAGTGCTGTTGCCAGGGCAACACGTGGAGTCTAGCCCATGTGGTATCTTTTAACCTAGAGAAGGATGCCCTCTATGTGGACAGTCCCGTGGATGTACCACTTGGTGAGCAGTGTGCAAGACTTCAACTCCATTTGTCTCCTGTGCAGTGAACCACTTACACAACCTGCAGCCTTGAGCTATTCACTGAAATAAGAAGTGCTGTGGGGAAATACAGGTTTTCTGGGGGGAGCTCAATTTTGGGAAGTTGAAACTGGGGAAACTGTGACACACACAGGTGAACTGTCCAGGATGTCATTGGGCATCTCAGTCTGGGGTCTCTTACATGCATGTGAAAAAAGTCTCCTGTGAGAAATGAAATCCCAAGCCTGTACCATGTGGATGCAGGGTCTAGATGTAAATTGCCTGACTGGAATATCAATCCCAAACTGAGCTCAAAAAGACTCTTAAACTTCTGAGGGAAAAGCAAATTCTCTTTGGGAATGCTCCCTCCC